ATGCCAAGGAGCTCAGAAAGTAACCGACTATGACTAGTAATAATCAGATATATAGAGATTAGAAACACATATGCAAACATCTTAATGTCAATTGCATTAAAAATGAATTTTTCTGTATGAAACTGTATTTTAATAATGAGATGGGGATCTTTTTTAAAGGTTAAAACTTCATTTAATTTTATCTTATAGGGTTTATAGCGAGTACAATATTGTATAACTGTAATAATTCAACTGTAAACCTAAAAATTTACAGCCAATTTTGAAAGAGATGCATCTTTGCTCTGGAATTTGTTACTGAATATGTTAAAGCTGTAGTGAAATGCTTCTTCTAAGTATGTGGTTATTAAATAAATAATTTTAAAAATACATAAAAAAAGAATTTCTAAAATGCTGCTTTTCCTATCACATTCAAGTATCTTAACCTTTAGAACAATGGAAACATATCTCTGTGTGAAAATCAGAAGGATGCTCAATAGATTAGTAAAGGAAATTGGTTGGGACTGATGGCACAGGCCTGTAATCTTAGTTTGTAGGGAGGATGAGATGGAAGAGTTGCAATTTCAAGGTCTGCCTGAGTTACACAGTAACTTTAAAGTCTAGCCTGGACAACTTAAAGAGTTCCTGTTTCAAAATAAAATGAGTGTGGGTAATATAACACAGGGAAGAGTGCTGGCCTGGCATTTGTAAAGCCCTGGCTGTAATGCATATTTGTTTTCCTCTGTACAATATCATTAACACAGGAAAGGGCTTCCATTGTCCATAACTACTTTTATGTGTCTGCTCCTTATTCACTGTTTCCCTCTTTGAACATCAGGATAAAAGCCATAGGTTTGTACTTTTAAGTTCTAAAGGCAGAAAATACCAGCTGAAATATCAAACCTGACTTCCCTTGCCTTTGTTATCCAGGCAGGTAGTTCAGCCTCAGTGGGATGACAAACAATTAGATCAGCACATTTATTCAGTGCGAGACAGTAGTGACTTGGCAGGGTTAAATGGAAAGGTACAAATCTGCCTCTGGGCTGTTTTAAACATGAGACTAAGAAATGGAACCTAAACCAACAGGGGAGGGAAATGATGTTTACTTTGTCACAAACATCAAGTAGAATGTTGCCTTGAATGCTCTTGCAAGGTTATTTCAGTAACCAAAGACATTCTTAATAAAGTGACACTTCTGACTATGGGGTGCATTTCTGTAGAGTTTAGAAATATATGGTGCCTAGGGGAAGAGGTAAGTCATGGATAGAATACTTGTTAGGCATGTACAAGGCCCTGAGTTTAATTCTCAGCAGGGCAAAAAATTAAGTGAACATCTAAACACATTTAAAATATACATAAGGCATTCAGGATGAGCAATCTCCAAATAATGGCTCTTTGGACTTCTCAAAGAATCCAGAAATGATATTGGTATCACAACACCAACCCCCAAAATTCTGAATCAATGTGTCTGTGGTGAATGCTCTCCATGTGATTGCAGATTCAGCTGGATTTAAGCCTCAAGAAGGGCCTGGGATTGCTTATCCTCTCAAAGAAAATGCAAGAGCAGTGTGGTGATGGAACACATGATGTCAAGGTATCCCAAGCACCCCTGATTTTGACTCTGCTGTAGACACAGTAAGGACAGGGCAAGGGACAAGGTGGGTTCACCCAAGAAGCAATGTGTATTTCAGCTCTGGAATTTGGTAGAGCTAGCTAAAAATTCTTGAATAAGTGTCACATGCCAGGTACTCTTGAGGGAACCATGAATAGCCCTCAGAAGCAAAGCCTGCATACTCCCCTTGCTAACGGGGAATCAGAGACAAAAGAAAGATCAATGGCTTTCTAAAAGTATTAGAAAACTTGTAAGGTTATGATTTGAACCTGGGATTCTGTCTCCAATGTAACATAATTTTTAGGAAAAAATAAACTTCAGTGATTTTAAGTTTTAGTATTTCCAGGAAAGAGGTGCCAAGAAGAGTTGACCCTTCACTACCTGCAGTGGATAATATGCTTGAAGACAGTCAGATTTTCCTACTTCTATGTGTAATGCCATTTAAAAATGTTTTTCTGGGCTTTTCAAGACCCATGTTTATTCTGTTTTTCTTCAAGTTGACTTAGTTGAGATCCACATACAGCAATGCCATACAGAAAACCACGTTCTCCATTGAAATGAATCCAGTCTGAGCTCCAGGACTTTAATTTCAAGTTACACTAACCACACATGGCAGGTCTCCATAACATCAAGGCCCCTGTGACTCTTTTGTCCTTTCTTAGCCGTGCATGCTAAGTATGTAAGATTTATGACCTAAGCCATGAGCAGAAAGCCCTGGCAGAAGTTAAGTAATTAGTCATTATTTGGGCCCAACATTCTCATGAGCTGTGTGAGAGTAGCCCTGTTTTAGTGCTTGAGAGTACACTGGATATTAAAAAGTGTGGGAATCATTCCATATCTTAGCTGAATACCTTCACATCTATGGGACACAAACCTTCAGAGAGTTGTTAGTGAAAATTTTAATAACAAATATTACCAATAAAGCAAGGACATACAGGTAAGAATTTATAGTTGCATTTAATCAGAAGTAATGATATTATTTCTCTGTTCACTTGACTTACAAACCTAAACAAACATTCTTATCATAAAATGTTATCACACAGCTGTGTGATAAATATCCCAGATAAAGAGTGCTACTATTGTTGTCTTCCTCACAGTGTTCTATTTCCCTCTCATTATAATTGTCTGAAACTTACAATTTAACATGTGCTTTTACATGCCTCTAAATTATTCCAGAGTTTCCCATTCTCTCTCTTGGGACATTCCCTCCTAAGCACGTGAGCCACTCAGGCAACCCAGTAAGTATGTAGTAAGTGGGTGCAACTGGAGATAATAATATTGACTAAATAAAGCTAATCTCAGAAAGACAGATATAACTTGCTTTCTCCCATTTGTAGTTCATACAGAAGCAAAAATGTCTAGAGAACAAAGGCAGCCAACAGTAGGTGGAACAGTCAGGAAGGAGAGGAGGGACAAACTGGGGAATATGTTCGACGTACAATATATAGTTAAACCGTAAGCAAATAAACAAAAACATTGACTGCATAGAGTTGAACTCTTCCCTCAGCATTTTGGCTGTCCACAGGGTCCACAGGAGCCTTGCATGCCAACCTGGTGGTCCTGGACTAAGCCCACACTCCCCTTTGTCAGGAAGGCAAAGCAGCTGACGACATCAACAACACTGGTGTAAGCCAGAGAGCAGGAAGCTCATTTTATTCTGCGCTATCACCTAGCATGCAGCCTGGGCACATGATCTCTGTACACTCCCTGACTTTGGTTGTCTCCACTGTAAAGTTAATACTTACCAAGAAATAAGAAGCTAGTCCAGATATTTTTATGTTGTCTTATTTGTGTGTATGTGTGTGTGCATGCGCGTGCATGCATGCCTGCCTCTCTCTCTCTCTCTCTCTCTGTGTGTGTGTGTGTGTGTGTGTGTGTGTGTGTGTTTGCATGTGGAGGCCAGAAGTTGCCAAATGTCTTTCTCAATTGCTCTCTACCTTATTTATTATTTTTTGAGACAGGGTTCCTCAGTGAACCTGCATCTCACTGAGTTGACTAGGCTGGAGATTACAGTATATGCACCATCATGTCCAGCTTTTCTTGTGTGGATGCTGAGGTCTTTATGCTTGTGTAGCAAGCACTCTTCCAACGGAATCATCTCCCTATCCTCCAGGTACTTAAAATTTTTTGGGGGGAGTCTTTTTGAGACAGGGTCTCCCTGTAGCCCCAGCTGTCCTGGAACTCACTATGTAGACCAGGTTGGCCTTGAACTCACAGAGATCTGCCTGCCTCTGACTCCCAAGTGCTGGGATTAAAGGTGTGTGCCACCATACCCAGCCTCCATATACTTTTTATAAGGTCTTCAAACTATGACAGATCTTTTTTAGCCATATACAAACAACATGTTGGACAAATCACACAGCTTGATTTGAAAGTGCTCTAAAAAACATACATGATGATGGACTGGCAGTACTCACGTGACTTGGATGAATTAAATATATTAAATTACCAGTCCTTCATTATGAAGAGCCTCCAAGCCCGTTTCTTACCTTTTGATTTCCGCTCATGGTATGACCTGCCTCTATGGTGAGGGGTGTCCAGATACAAGTTCTCCAGATCGTCTTGCCAAGACTCTGGATTGAAGTGCTTCAGCAGATCTTCCACAGTATCGAATTCTGCAATTGTTTTGTCCAGGGCATCCGCAGTGAGAGTGGTGTCTGTTACCGATGGAGAGCGATAGGTCACCCCCTAAGAGTGACAGACAGCACAGTGCACTTAGATAGGGTCTCCTGCTGTGAAATATAACAGTCATACAACTATACGGAAGAAACACAGAAATCTCTTCTGAGCACAACTCATTTAGTCCCATGCCACAGCAATCTGGGACCACTTTATCTTATTCTTAAACAACTGGAGCCATTAATGGATACAACATAGCATGTGTTTCTTTGGAAATCAAAACCAAGCAGATCATTAAACTTTCTGAACTACAATAATTTCAAAAGACCCAGGCTTGGTAGAAATAAATTGACTCATCTAATTTCTTGGCTCCAAGTCCCAAATCACTCATGAATAAGTTCTGAATTCCTTCCAAGCAGATTTTGATGATATGCTCAGCTCCCCCAAGCTGAACGTCCACACTCACGCTTTCCAGCATACTGCCCATTGCAGAGGCTGTGCGGACTGAGTCTGACTCCACGCTGGAGACATTTTGATAAAATTTGGCACTTTAACCAACTTAGTTACTGTCAATAAGGATAATTAGGCATGAAACTGGCTCTCTTAAGAGTGTAAGGTTCACATGGGAAGCATATTAAAAGAAAAAATAAAGAGAAAGGCTATAGCTTGATAGTGATCCCGGCTTTATTAAAACGGTCCCGGAATTAAATGAAGAGTATGGTGCAACTCAAAGGCAGGAAGGGGATTGCGTTTTCTGCCCTGGAGCTAAAACATCCTCACCTAAGGTTTCCTAGCACTCACTGCACTAACCCTTGTCCAATCTCGAGGTAAATGAGCCATGATTCAGACATCTCTGTAAAAATTCATGACCCATTAATAGGGAAACAAGGGGCACCAGGCTCAAATGATTTCTAAGTAACTTTAAAAAAAACAACCAAACAGAGGCCGGGCATGGTGGCACACGCCTTTAATCCCAGCACTCGGGAGGCAGATGCAGGCGGATCTCTGTGAATTCAAGGCCAGCCTGATCTACATAGTGAGTTCCAGGACAGCTGGGGCTACAGGAAGATCCTGTCTCAAAAAGATCAAAAAACAAAAAAACAAAAAAACAACAACAAAAAACCCCAACCAAACAAAGAAGATTTCTTCCCACCCAAGGGCAAATATCTCCTATCACTTAGAGAAAATGGAAATAAGTGAAAACTTCTTTTCCTAAAACATAATCAGGAAATAATACATACTATAGAGTCTTCAACTGCAAAGCTCAGAAGTGACACGCTTACTCTCAGGCTATGTCTACTCCCTTTAACCAACCAAGGTCTAAAATTCTGTGAATTACTCCACAGTTACAAAAGGTCTGTGAATGACAAGGGTCTCTTACTCCAGAGGAAGGCACTCTAGTTAGTGAAATGAAGGCATCTAATGCAATCACCCGTATTTATGTTCTGTAGGGGAAGGTATGAGACAAGATGGGAGTTGGGGAGGATGGTGAGGTGGAGAATGAGATGGATTGATGGGTATGTCCATCTTTAGCCAGCCCGGTCAAAGTAAGTAGATATTCTCATTCTGGACTCAACTTTCATCAGAGTACTTCCCATCACCTGTGCAATATATCCTCTGTATGTGTATCCAGGAGATCATTCACCTGTTTATACAGTCTTTGTCATACATTAGTTGAGAGTCTAAGCATGGTAAAGACCCTCTCTACAATCATCTTGATGAGGATATGGCTTCAGCTCAGTGCAGACATATTTGTTCCTTTTGTTCTTTTTCAAAAAAATATTTTATTTTATTTTTTTATTTTAGGTGTACGAGTGTTTTATCTGTGTGTATGTAAGTGCACCCATGTTGTACAATGCCTGAAGAGGTCAGAAGAGGGCATTGGATTCCCTGGAACTGGAGTTAAGGACAGTTGTTGGCTGCCATATGAGTGATGGGAATCAAATCTGGGTCACCTACAAGAGCATCTCTCTAGCTCCTGTTCTTTTAGTTCCCGACAGGCAAGCTCTTTAAAATAGGTGTGTATATGTGTGTGTTTGTGTATGTGTGTGCTTATATGTGTGCATATATGCATATAGTTGTACATGTATATGTATATGTGAGTATGCATATTTTTGTGTGTGTGTGTGTGTGTGTGTGTGTGTGTGTGTGTGTGGTGTCACATGAGCTGAAACCTGATTGGAGGTACACTGTTCTGTCTTCCACACCTATTTTGAAACCCACATGCTATAGGTGGATAACACTTGTAAGTCAGCACTGTAGTTCCAAGTCTCCACTCAATCTGTCTGGATAATTTATAGTTCCCAGCTCATATTCACTACACAATTAGTCTTGTATCATCATCATGTGGGTCTAATGCCCCCCAAATCAAAATGAGTTGATCAGAGTTAGGAGCCTGACATCATACAAAAACTTTGAAATTAAAATGCTGCCCTCTCTTTTGAAATAAAAGGAGGAACATCAGTCTAGTCATTCCCACACAAGTAAAAACTACTTTTAATAGCTTTGGGAAAGTAGCTGAAGGAGAATTCTGGGTTGGCCTTAAAAATAACTGGAGTATAGCGCTATACTTTCTCCAAGAATATTTCTCCAAGAATGAGCTCTTAAGGGACTTTCAGTTACTGGAATGGACTAGGGGGTAGATAAGGTGACATAATGCCTCTTAACAATAAGCTGAAGAGCAAATTCAAAATTGTCCTTACATCGAGCTTTATGATTGTTTTCAAATTTCCATTCAGTAGCTAACAGACACAGGATGACAATTAAGGAAACACATATGTGTCATTAAGTGAGCTAATAAACCCATAAAAACATTTGTTTCTTGGGGTTGGAGAGATGGCTCAGAGGTTAAGAGCACTGACTGCTCTTGCAGAGGACGCAGGGTCAAATCCCAACACTCACATGGTGGCTAACAACTATCTGTAACTCCAGTTCCAGGGGATCTGGTACCTATTTCTGACCTCTGCAGGTATTGGATAACACAGGTGCACTTAACACATATGCAGGCAATACACTTATAAACATAAAATAAAAATAATAAATATTAAAAAAAAAAAAAAAGAATCTTAGGGGTTCTGGGTTGGGAGAGATGGCTCAGAGGTTAAGAACACTTGCTATTCTTCCAGAGGACCCAGGTTTGATTCCCAGCACCCACATGGTGGCTAACAAACTAAGTTCAACCTCCAACTGTACTGTGCACTGGGTCTCTTCAAGATTTTGTTATCTACTTAAAAAGCAATCCCAGTTGTGGCACTCTAATAGTCTCCATCTGGTACATAAGAAGCTTCTTTAAGTGGTGGTGACTGGGATATTTGTCTGTAAATATAAGGATACATATTTTGCACACAGTAAGAAATTATATTAGTCTAGGGATGTGACAATCTTGGGGTTTTCTCTAAGATCTATGACCGCTCCAGCTATTGCATTGGCTATGTTTACAGTATCACACGAGTTTCCTCCCATTGAGTAGTAGCTGTTGATTGTCCCCAAGATAAAAGTGCTACTACTGCACCAATGTCATATGCTGTGCAGGTCATTGATGTGATTATTTGGTCTTGAAGCTGGGGTTGGACCACTGATTGATGTTCTCCCTTAGCACCTTGCATAGTGCTCTCTAAAGGTATGAGAGCTGGTCTTTAGGGGAAGTGGCGTCAGGTCATTTCTAGCTTCATTAAACCAAATCCTGTGTCTGAGGTATGTTCTATCTTCAGCTGAACAGTCTTACCTTCAAGTTCTGGGAGGAAATCAAGGGCTGTGGCAATAGCCTGTTCAATTTTGGGAGCCTTGGACCAACCTGGCTAGCAACTCAATGGAAGGTTTCTCCTGTCTCGCACAGTTTCTTGTTATGTAGCCTTTACCTATACACGTGGACTCATGTGGAGATATTGTATGTGTAATTGTCATTAGGTTGTTGGACTAATATGATTCCCTCTGTTTTTTTCACACTGCCTAGGCATTATTTATTCTCTCTCTCTCTCTCTCTCTCTCTCTCTCTCTCTCCCTCTTTCTGTCTAACTCTTCTGCCATGGATTTCCCATTTAAAGGGTCCCCATTTTCCCATTTCTCCCTTCATAATACTAGTCTCCTATGGTCCCAACTCCCTTGAGCTCCTTCTTTCTCTTTATCCCCAAAGTTTCTTTCCCTCCTGCACTCCTCCCATTTAAATACCCCTATTTTATCCATTTCTCCATTAGTAACACCTGTCTCCTACTGTTCTTCTCTTTCAGGTTCCTTCTTTCCCTTTACCTCCCTGGTTCCTTTCTATTACCCTGGTTTCTGCAGTTACATTAGGATACATACTCACATATAAGGATTTGGTGCTAGGATCCACATCCCCATATGTCATTTGTTTTTCTGAGTCTGTGTTACTTCAGTTAGTATAACAGTTTCTACTCCTATCCATTTACCTGAAAATTTCATGATTTCATCTTTTTAATCCCTGGGTAAAACTTCATTGTGTAAATGTACCATATTCTCATTATCCATTTGTCATTTGTCACACAGAGACATTGTCTGTGAATTGCCCAAGCCTACATGGTACATCTACAATGCAATCTTTATTCCTAAAGCTCACAGAACATAGAACAAGGGGTAAAGAGGACACTAATGAATATCTCAATTCTCATAGATGAAGCTCCCTCATGCAACAGAGGACCAGGAACACAATAGATCACAAATGGCCAAAGCATAGAAATAAAGAGTCTGCAGAATGCTGGTTCTTGGCAGCACTCCTATAATACATCTCACCCACCCAGACCTCAGGGACCATTGTGGAAAAGGGGGCAGAAAGATTGTAAGAGCCAGGAAGGAGGTGCATGACCATATGGAAATAGAGTCCTACAAGCTCCTGGGACTCTGCTTATATGAACCTACAGAAATGAAGTCAGCATGCATAAGACCCATACACACTCAAGCAGACAAAAACCCAGAATAGAACTAGGGAAATGGACAGCTGACCCCAATCTTAGCTGAAGAAATATTGGCAACTGATTACTGCTGGATGAGGAAAAGGCCATCTTCCTAAAGTGAGGGAATCTAGGCAGGCTGACTAGACCTCAGTAGATGAACTT